TCTACCTGCAACATATTGCCTACATCTTCCTGTAACCTACTTGCCTACACCTACCTGCAACCTACATGCTTACATATATCTGGTCTACAGAACCGTGGAAAAAGAGGGGGTGGGGGCTGTGAAGGGGGTATATACTCAGACGCCATCGCTGAATGATGCCGAAATCTGTGTCACATCAAAAAGAGGTGTTTCATTTCAGAATCCATGTGTGAGTAACGGGGACAGTGACACTGTGTTCAGGCAGACATGCACGATTGTGTGTGTGGGTTTTTTTTGTCTTTGTTTAGCCGTTAAGTTCTCATCTCATAGTTGGATTTAGCTTTAAAGTACTCATCTCATAGTTGGGTTTAGCTTTAAAGTACTCATCTCATAGTTGGGTTTAGCTTTAAAGTACTCATCTCATAGTTGGGTTTAGCTGTCAAGTACTCATCTCATAGTTGGGTTTAGCTGTGAAGTACTCATCTCATAGTTGGGTTTAGCTGTCAAGTACTCATCTCATAGTTGGGTTTAGCTGTGAATTACTCATCTCATAGTTGGGTTTAGCTGTGAAGTACTCAACTCATATTTGGTATTAGCTGTAATGTAGTCATCTCAAAGTTGGTTTTAGCTGTGAAGTACTCATCTCATATTTGAAATTAGCTGTGAAGTATTCATCTCATTGTTGGTTTAGCTTTGAAGTACTTGTAACGGACAATGTTTTCACATGAAAACAGAGAGGTAGCATGAGTGAACAATGAATGGTGTTGACCATGTTTTTGTCCACGAGGACAATGAATTGTATTTTGAGATACAAATGTGAGCTCCACGTTTTTGGAGAGTAAAATTATGTTTTTGTCAGAGCGGTTGTTTTGCACGCTTTTCCGGTAATAAAGTATGAGTTGACTGAGATAGTAGAGAGCTGAGCGCAGAGCAGTAGAGTCAGTAGCGTGAGAGCTGTGTGATTAGACAGTTGACAGTTTAGTGTGAGGACGTGTCTTTCTTAATGATGGAATACTATAGATATATATGTGAAATTACATTCATGCAAGGATTATTTATTAATATTATCAATATAAAGTGTGTTCAATAAAGTACTGTAAGTTTAACCAGGATTCAGTATTCTTATTTGCGTGCCCGGATTATAAGTGGAAGAATGAAGAAGCCTTAGTCGGCATCCTGAAATATCAACATAACATAAGTAACCATACTACTGACATAACCCACAGCATAAGAAATAAGCTCCCACGCCATGTCAGAGTAGGTGTGTTACAGTACTCATCTCATATTTGGTATTAGCTGTGAAGTACTCATCTCATAGTTGGGTTTAGCTGTGAAGTACTCATCTCATAGTTGGGTTTAGCTGTGAAGTACTCATCTCATAGTTGGTTTTAGCTGTGAAGTACTCATCTCATAGTTGTGTTTAGCTGTGAAGTACTCATCTCATAGTTGGGTTTAGCTGTGAAGTACTCATCTCATAGTTGTGTTTAGCTGTGAAGTACTCATCTCATAGTTGGGTTTAGCTGTAAGTACTCATCTCATAGTTGGGTTTAGCTGTGAAGTACTCATCTCATAGTTGTGTTTAGCTGTGAAGTACTTATCTCATAGTTGGGTTTAGCTGTGAAGTACTCATCTCATAGTTGGGTTTAGCTGTGAAGTACTCATCTCATAGTTGGTTTTAGCTGTGAAGTAATCATCTCATAGTTGTGTTTAGCTGTGAAGTACTCATCTCATAGTTGGGTTTAGCTGTGAAGTACTCATCTCATAGTTGTGTTTAGCTGTGAAGTACTCATCTCATAGTTGGGTTTAGCTGTAAGTACTCATCTCATAGTTGGGTTTAGCTGTGAAGTACTCATCTCATAGTTGTGTTTAGCTGTGAAGTACTTATCTCATAGTTGGGTTTAGCTGTGAAGTACTCATCTCATAGTTGGGTTTAGCTGTGAAGTACTCATCTCATAGTTGGGTTTAGCTGTGAAGTACTCATCTCATAGTTGGGTTTAGCTGTAAAGTACTCATCTCATAGTTGGGTTTAGCTGTAAGTACTCATCTCATAGTTGTGTTTAGCTGTGAAGTACTCATCTCATAGTTGTGTTTAGCTGTGAAGTACTCATCTCATAGTTGGGTTTAGCTGTGAAGTACTCATCTCATAGTTGGGTTTAGCTGTAAAGTACTCATCTCATAGTTGGGTTTAGCTGTAAGTACTCATCTCATATTTGGTATTTGCTGTGAAGTACTCATCTCATAGTTGTATTATCATTTCCCAGATTGTCGCGTGTTCCAGGATTCAAAACTAAAAGTGAGTCTCTTTTAGTTTAATAATTATAGTCTAAACTGAATCAGTATGAAGAAAAAAAAAGAGAATTGTTAAATCATTGTATTAATTATTTTTATAATTTTTTAATCATCAAGGTTATTGGTTTGTTGACAGGTTGATCACTGCGATGTTATTGGTTTGTTGACAGGTTGATCACTGGGATGTTATTGGTTTGTTGACAGGTTGATCACTGCGATGTTATTGGTTTGTTGACAGGTTGATCACTGCGATGTTATTGGTTTGTTGACAGGTTGATCACTGCGATGTTATTGGTTTGTTGACAGTTGATCACTGCGATGTTATTGGTTTGTTGACAGGTTGATCACTGCGATGTTATTGGTTTGATGACAGGTTGATCACTGCGATGGTATTGGTTTGTTGACAGGTTGATCACTGCGATGTTATTGGTTTGTTGACAGGTTGATCAATGCAATGTTATTGGTTTGTTGACAGGTTGATCACTGCGATTTTATTGGTTTGTTGACAGGTTGATCACTGCGATGTTATTGGTTGGTTGACAGGTTGATCACTCCGATGTTATTGGTAGCTATTGTGTGAAGAACAAAGTGCCGAACATTTGAGACCTTTGCTTCACACTGAATTAAGGTGGCTATCAAAAGGAAACTGTGCACCCTCAAAAATGTCTCCTTTCTTAAACCTGTCATTATTTTTCATTTAGTGAACAATTCAATTTTGGAATATTAAAAATTATGTTTATATTACTTATGGGGCAAAGAATTTTAGAAAGACTTGGGGGGGGGGGGGGCTTTGCACCAAAAGGTTTTGAAAGCACTGTCTGGGGGGACGTCTCGATTTAAGTGGGAAATTTTTCTTTGGTTATAAGAATTCTCTATTTTACAATTTTCTGATAATATTGACATTGGTCATCAAGCCATAATGCACACTTTTTTCTGACCGCTAGGTAACTTTGAAAACATGAACAACCTAAGCAGACCTACATGACAACGTTGAGCTTGAGTAAACAGCTGAAGGAATCAATAAGTAAACAAACTCAGCTTTTCATCTCAGTTTGTTGACATTGTTTATGTGTACAGCGATGATGAGTATATTGTGTGTGTGAAAACGATGATGAGTGTATATGTATATGTGTACAGTGATGATGAGTTTATTATGTGCATGTGAGGATGAACTTATTGTGTGTGTGTGTACAGCGATGATGAGTTTATTATGTGCATGTGAGGATGAACTTATTGTGTGTATGTGTACAGCGATGATGAGTTTATTATGTGCATGTGAGGATGAACTTATTGTGTGTATGTGTACAGTGATGATGAGTTTATTATGTGCATGTGAGGATGAACTTATTGTGTGTGTGTGTACAGCGATGATGAGTTTATTATGTGCATGTGAGGATGAACTTATTGTGTGTGTGTGTGTACAGCGATGATGAGTTTATTATGTGCATGTGAGGATGAACTTATTGTGTGTGTGTGTACAGCGATGATGAGTTTATTATGTGCATGTGAGGATGAACTTATTGTGTGTGTGTGTACAGCGTGGGGCGGTGTGCTAAGGGAGACGAATATTTTAAGACGTAGATGAAGTCATATCATATAAACCAATAGATGAAGTCCTATCATATAAACCAATAGATGAAGTCCTATCATATAAACCAATAGATGAAGTCCTATCATATAAACCAATAGATGAAGTCCTATCATATAAACCAATAGATGAAATCCTATCGTATAAACCAATAGATGAAGTCCTATCATATAAACCAATAGATGAAGTCCTATCATATAAACCAATAGATGAAGTCCTATCATATAAACCAATAGATGAAGTCCTATCATATAAACCAATAGATGAAGTCCTATCATATAAACCAATAGATGAAGTCCTATCATATAAACCAATAGATGAAGTCATATCATATAAACCAATAGATGAAGTCCTATCATATAAACCAATAGATGAAGTCATATCATATAAACCAATAGATGAAGTCCTATCATATAAACCAATAGATGAAGTCCTATCATATAAACCAATAGATGAAGTCCTATCATATAAACCATAGATGAAGTCCTATCATATAAACCAATAGATGAAGTCCTTTCATATAAACCAATAGATGAAGTCATATCATATAAACCAATAGATAAAGTCCTATCATATAAACCATAGATGAAGTCATATCATATAAACCAATAGATGAAGTCATATCATATAAACCAATTGATGAAGTTCTATCATATAAACCAATAGATGAAATCTTTTCATATAAACCAATAGATGAAGTCCTATCGTATAAACCAATAGATGAAGTCCTATCATATAAACCAATAGATAAAGTCATATCATATAAACCAATAGATAAAGTCATATCATATAAACCAATAGATTAAGTCCTATCGTATAAACCAATAGATGAAATCCTATCGTATAAACCAATAGATGAAGTCCTATCATATAAACCAATAGATAAAGTCATATCATATAAACCAATAGATGAAGTTCTATCATATAAACCAAGAGATGAAGTCCTATCATATAAACTAATAGATGAAGTCCTATTATATAAACCAATCGTACAATTAAGTTTTATCAATAATTTGTCTGCAAAGCCAAGCTACTCTAACTCTGTTAGATACTTCTACCATCTAAAAATTCCTGAAAGTCTTGAAATTGTCTGCCGTCACCTGCCACTGTAGAAGACAAACTTTCCGCCAGGAGAAACTCCTCCGCAACTCTCCGTCACTACAAACGTCCGAAGAACTTGATCTCTAAAAGATAATCTCTCGTGAATAAGGCCATCTTTGAGCTCACGACGAACAAAAGGGTATAATCCGTGGAGGCGCTTACAAGGGAGAGTAGCCCTGAGCTTCTGTAGCGTGTGGGACTCCAGCTTGTGGGAGTAGCTGAGGGAAGTACAGAGGCTGGGAGAGTAGTTTCTCTTGACGACGGCGTCAGAGTCCCGTGGCGCTGGCAGTAAGGCACCGGCGAACGGCCGTAGGCAAAGCGGGAATGTGAGTTGCTTGGGGAATGAGAACGTTGCCCGGTAGTCGAAGCTTTCGTCGAAAATGTGCGTGGCGTTCTCTAGGAAAAAGAAAATATCAATGTAAGGCCAGCGAAACGGTTTGTGTGGAATGGTCTTGGGCTTGGTCCAGTAAAACTTCCAGCGCTGTCCGCGAGGACTGTTGAGCCCAAAATCACCCGGCACCGAGCGGAGCGCGTGACGCAGTCTTGCTCTGTCCGACGAGTTGGCGATGACGTCGATGTCGTCGTCCCAGGGAATGATGTCGTGGTGACGCAGCGAGCCCAGCAGAGTGCCGCCGTAGATTAAAAACGGGACGTTGAACCTTAGGCACGCTCGGACGAAATTCTGGAACAGCATGAGCAGAGCCTCCCTCTCACTGGGTGTCAGGCCGGGCTGGAAGGCCAGCAGCTCGTTCCCGTCGGTGAAGTTATCTCTGTTAGTGCCGTTGACATCCAGAAAGTACAAGCTGTTCACTCGGTCGAAATGTTTGGCCCCGTCGCCAAGGACGCGTGTTTCATTCACTTCCGGAAAGGCGAAGACTTCCGGTGCGAAGTTTGGAACATGGAAACAAGCTGGCGAGTCTTCGGTTTGGCGTGATATTTTGGTCAGGCTGACATTCAAAGTAAACACGACAGCAGCTGATAATAAACCACACACATACACAATTGTAAACCGTCTGCTAAATAAAATGTGTTTATTCATCATTAAAAGAAGGGATTTTGACCTCGAAATTTTTCCTATTAATTTTACTGTAACATCATTGCTCAGAAATGTCAAACGAAATGTTTTGATCTGAAAAGGTTTACTTGCAAATCTTATGACACCTTAATCTTCCTTTGAGTTCCGTCGAAATTTTTTTAACATCACTTTTCACAGAAATTAGTTTCACTTCATTTTTTGGTTCTATAAATTTATTTTGTTTCCACTTCAGTCACCATCTCGGGCGCATTCAATCACATCACCATCGGGGGCGCCTTTAGTCATTAACTAAAATCCATAAAATCCATAACTATTCCATAAAATCCAAAGAATACGATTTATAATTTACTCAACAAACTCCAAACATTGAAACAGTTCAACTAAATAAATCATTCACAAATCAAAGACACCGACAATTGTGATGAAAATTCAGAAAGAAGATTGTACCAAGTACTCTAAAACTTTAATTTCACTTCTGAAAGAATATAATCCAATCCCAGATGACGTCATAAGCAGACAGCAACAAAAAAAACGGCCATTCCCCCTTGCTCGGTTTCCAACGGGATATGTTTGCCCAGTTCACTACGAGGCGGCACCATTCAAAGCCTCGGTGCTTAATTTCCCTCGCGTGTTGGTCGACAAGCCCCTTCAAATCTGAGCATCAGGTCCAGCTTTGGTGCGGACCATTTGCCGGCCATACAGTCCAGCTCGTGACACCCACGCGGTGACTACTGCTACTAGCTGGGGTACTGCTTAAGCCTAATCCATCCCAACCAGTGTGTACGAGCACAACAACTCAGGAACCGGTTCAAGAATTTCAAAAGATTGTTTTTTTAAATATTTCAAAATAAGGAACACTTTAAATAGTGCTATTGAACAGTGGTATTTTAATTTTTGGAGTGGGAGCGGAATTTTCAAACTAAAAATCATAGATGGAGCTGTTTAAAACATTATTTATTAACCCATTTGAGTTTTGTAATTTGGTCCGTTCTGATGCTCACAGAGAAAGAAAACTGTTGTAACAATTGGATTGTATGACCACCGTTCTCAAACTGTTGTAACAATGGGATTGTATGACCATTGTTCTCAAACTGTTGTAACAATGGGATTGTATGACCACCGTTCTCAAACTGTTATATCGATGAGATTGTATGACCACCGTTTTCAAACTGTTGTAACAATGGGATTGTATGACCACCGTTCTCAAACTGTTGTGACAATGGTATTGATTGACCACATTTCTCAAACTGTTTTAACAATGGGATTGTACGAGCACCGTTCTCAAACTGTTGTAAAAATGGGATTGTATGACCACCGTTCTCAAACTGTTGGAACAATGGCATTTTATGACCACCGTTCTCAAACTGTTATATCAATGAGATTGTATGACCACTGTTCTCAAACTGTTATATCAATGAGATTGTATGACCACCTTCTCAAAATCAAAATGTTGAAACAATGGAATTGTATGACCACCGTTCTCAAACTGTTGTGACAATGGGACTTTATGACCACCGTTCTCAAACTGTTGTAACAATGGGATTGTATGACCACCTTCTCAAAATGTTGTAACAATGGAATTGTATGACCACCGTTCTCAAACTGTTGTGACAATGGGACTTTATGACCACCGTTCTCAAACTGTTGTAACAATGGGATTGTATGACAACCTTCTCAAAATGTTGTAACAATGGAATTGTATGACCACCGTTCTCAAACTGTTGTGACAATGGGACTTTATGACCACCGTTCTCAAACTGTTGTAACAATGGGATTGTATGACCACCTTCTCAAAATGTTGTAACAATGGAATTGTATGACCACCGTTCTCAAACTGTTGTGACAATGGGACTTTATGACCACCGTTCTCAAACTGTTGTAACAATGGGTTTGTATGACCACCGTTCTCAAACTGTTGTGACAATGGGACTTTATGACCACCGTTCTCAAACTGTTGTAACAATGGGATTGTATGACCACCGTTCTCAAACTGTTGTAACAATGGGATTGTATGACCATTGTTCTCAAACTGTTATATCGATGAGATTGTATGACCACCGTTCTCAAACTGTTATATCGATGAGATTGTATGACCACCGTTCTCAAACTGTTGTAACAATGGGTTTTGGTCACTAAGCTTACGTTTACAAATAACCGGGCCACGGCAACGTTTTTGGGGAATCATTGCCCCCCCCCCCTAACGGCAGCTTTAGACAACTGAGAGTATATTAGTGAAACTAACAGACAATGACCTGAAAAACAAGGCCTAACATGATTTTGATTAATTATTTTTACGACTGAACAGATGAGTGTTCTACCTTGGTACCGGTGAGTAGCTCCCCTTTAGATGTGACAGCGGGAGACAACTCATTATTCTTCTCATTAATGCCCTAATTAAGTAGAGATTGAGTTTTGAGTAATATAACCATTGTTTTATTATTAGTGAACATTTTATTAGCATTGTAAACAAGTCTTGATCAACAGACCTATTTTCTTTACTGTTTAAAAATTGTCAAGTAGATGATATTGACAACATTTGCATTGTTGTCATTGGAATAGTAACGAGCTTCTGAGTGATGTGTTACTGTAATCAAGTGCTGAACTTGTGAGTGATAGCTTACTGTTATTAAGAGTTGAATATGTAAGTGATATTTCTGTTGTCAAATTCTGAACTTGTGACTAATTTACTATTGTTATCAAGTGCTGAACTTGTGAGTGATATGCTACTGTTTTTCATTAGTGAGTTCGTGTTTGATTTTTGTATAATCAAGCCCTCTCATTTTTAGACCCACTGCAAAATACATGTGCTGCAAAAATCGAAACCCATCCCGTGCTCAAAGTTTGTTTCCAATGCTCACAAATTTATCAACTGCTGCCTCATTGCTCACCATTATACTCCACTATTGATTCAATGCTCACTATTGTATACAAGTAGTCATCCAATACAGAAGTAGTCATCTGAGCTAAACATATGTAAGTTTGTCTTATTATTTCACAGTACACGTCAATACATCTGCAACATATTAAACACGAACACTGAAAGTTATTGTATAAAAGTGTGTTTAATCCATTTTAAGCCTGGACAAATAATTTAACAGATATTTTTTAAAGTAATTTTTTCAAAAACAAAATGCAGCAAACCTGTTTGGTCACAGCAAACCTGTTTGGTCACAACAAACCTGTTTGGTCACAACAAACCTGTTTGGTCACAACAAACCTGTTTGGTCACAACAAACCTGTTTGGTCACAACTAACCTGTTTGGTCACAGCAAACCTGTTTGGTCACAACAAACCTGTTTGGTCACAACAAACCTGTTTGGTCACAACAAACCTGTTTGGTCACAACTAACCTGTTTGGTCACAACTAACCTGTTTGGTCGCAACCAACCTGTTTGGTCACAACAAACCTGTTTGGTCACAACCAACCTGTTTGGTCACAACCACCTGTTTGGTCACAACCAACCTGTTTGGTCACAACAAACCTGTTTGGTCACAACTAACCTGTTTGGTCGCAACCAACCTGTTTGGTCGCAACAAACCTGTTTGGTCACAACAAATCTGTTTGGTCACAGCCAACCTGTTTGGTCACAACCACCTGTTTGGTCACAGCAAACCTGTTTGGTCACAGCAAACCTGTTTGGTCACAACAAACCTGTTTTGTCACAACAAACCTGTTTGGTCACAATAAACCTGTTTGGTCACAACAAACCCTTTTTGGTCAAACCCTGTGTGGTCACCATAAACCTGTTTGGTCACAACAAACCCTTTTTGGTCACAACAACCGTGTTTGGTCACACCCAACCTGTTTGGTCACAACCACCTGTTTGGTCACAACCAACCTGTTTGGTCACAACTAACCTGTTTGGTCGCAACCAACCTGTTTGGTCGCAACAAACCTGTTTGGTCACAACAAACCTGTTTGGTCACAGCCAACCTGTTTGGTCACAACCACCTGTTTGGTCACAGCAAACCTGTTTGGTCACAGCAAACCTGTTTGGTCAATACAAACCGGTTTTGTCACAACAAACCTGTTTGGTCACAATAAACCTGTTTGGTCACAACAAACCTGTTTGGTCACAATAAACCTGTTTGGTCACAACAAACCTGTTTGGTATCAACAAACCTGTTTGGTCACAACAAACCGCTGAGCCCAATCCAACGCCAACATAAACTTAAACCCCATCTCTAAGTCCAAGATGCCTATCTTGTCAATGATGCATAGCTGGAGTGTGCATGCTTATCTTGTCAATGATGCATAGCTGGAGTGTGCAACAGGAATGCGTCATCAGTTTAGGATGGGGTTAGTTGAATAATTAACTGCGGGGTCCTATTTGAAAAATGATCCAATCTTTTCTTTTATTCTATGGTATATACAAGCGGTTCTCAACCTTCCTCATGCCACGACCAGAATGCTGGTATGGAAGCAAGTCCATTTAATAATATTAGTCCTGTTCAACACCGGGTCAGAAGGCTGGTGTTGAAGCAGGTCCAAAGATCAGACCTCTTAAACACCGAGTACGAAGGCTAGTATTCAAACAGGACCATAAATTAGTCCTGTTAAACACCGGGTCAGAAGGCTGGTATTAAAGTCTAACATACAAGCATATTTGTATCTATATGTCGAGTAACTATTTCTTTGAGTTCTCTAGAACGTTTGTCGGTTGCTTCACAACTTTTCAACTCGTGCGTAACAGTGTTCCATGTTTCAATTGGATCACCAAGTTTCCTATAGAGTAGCCTCCGTGTGTTACCGGCATGTGTGATCTCAGTGTGTAAGTTAAGGCTGTGCTCAGATCAACAGGTTCAGACACCTGGACACGGCAAAGATTCAGTTTCATCGAGTGTCTCCTATAAATAGTCATTGTATTGTTCTTGATTGTAATATTCCCCACATGTTTCAGGCACGTTGAACTCACTGAGGGTTTGCCCATCTTTAACCAGCAACTCTTTCGACAAGCCATGTTTGACCGTGCGACGGGTGAACGGGTACACTTGGTGCAGCTGGTCACATGGGACTTTGTGAACGTGCGAAATGCTGCTTTCAAATTTATGTCTGTAGCTCAGAGAAGCACACTGGCTGAGCGAATACGTTTTCAGCACCGTTGATAGAGAGAATCGCGGAACCGGAAGCAAAGACCCGGCAAAAGGTCGATGACACAGCGGGAAAACAGAAGTCTTACGGTAAGAGAACTCTGAAAATTCAATCAACGCATCATAAATGTGTGTTGTGTTTTCAGTGTAGAAGAATATGTCGATGAATGGCCATAGGTAGGGCAGGTCTCTGATTGGTTTACCTTTCAGCCAATAGAACTTGACAACACCATAGTGATTGAGGTAGGCTCTGAAATCTCCGACCGACTCATTCAGAGCTTGAAGCAGTTTTGGTTTGTCCAATTCATTGAGGATGACGTCAATATCGTCATCCCAGGGGATGATGTCATGGTGTCGCACTGATCCAAGTAACGTGCCCCCGTAGAGGAAATACAGAACATTGTGTTTGTTGCAGGCTCGGACGAAGGCCTGAAACACAAACAGAAGCGTCTCCCTTTCGTACGGCGTGAGAGCCATCGAGAATGCCAGGCGCTGGTCGTCATCATCTAACGTTGTATTGTCAATGGTTATGGCGGATACATTGTCAAAATTCTCCAAGTAGTGCTCTTCACCCTCGATCACGTGAGACTCGTTGACCTCCGGAAAACTGAATAGTTTTATTGGTTCCGCTTTTGTAAACATTTGTAAGATACGGGCGATGTGGTGGAATGAGCTGGTTTTAATGATGGCAAAGATGACAATTCCGTTAATCAACATCATGGCCACCATGGTCAGGTGCTTGTGTCGCAGCAGCCAGGCCAGCAGGGCCTGGTAAGGGAAACAGACCCTCTTACTTCGCGAGCGCATTCTATGTGTGTTGATTGATCTACGTCGTCAATAGGGGGGATTGGTTTTATACTGAATTTACAAGTTATTGTCTACAATTGGGTACATGTTAACTTCAGTCGTGCGCGTCCACCATTGAATTATTGTTAACTTCAGCAATAGGTGTGACGTATCCACAGTTGAGTTATTGTTATCTTTAGCAGTAGGTGTCAACAAATGAATTATTGAATTGTTAACTTTCGCAGTACATGTCCATAATTGAGTTATTGAATTGTTAACTTTAGCAATACGTGTCCACAACTGATTATTGTAATTTCAATTAAGTTATTGAACTGTTAACTTTAGCAGGACACGTCGACATTTGAGTTTCCGCCATGGTGGTTAACTTTAGAACTACGTGTTCCCATTTGATTGATCGTTCCCGTTTTAAACAGTAGATCTAAATATCAACAACTGATGCTAACTTTAAGAGTGCATGCAAACAACTGATGCTAACTTTAAGAGTGCATGTCAACAACTGATGCTAACTCTAAGAGTGCTTGTCAACAACTGATGCTAACTTTAAGAGTACATGTCAACAACTGATGCTTCTTACTCTAAGAGTGCATGTCAACAACTGATGATAACGTTAACAGTACAATCCACGATCCAGATACTGTACCTAACACTACGTGTCTGATAGTGTACAGCTATGGAGACGAGTTGGCCCTGGTATGATAAATGCAAGCATCTGCAACCGTAAATAAAGACATTGTGACCGGATATGAACTTTGTCCTTAAAAAGCTGGCGGTGCTAAAATGTGCCTGCGCACAAAGCGTAATTATATTTCCTAAACATAAATGATCCACAAAAAATAACCGAATAAATAATTAAATGTAATATGTACGAAAAATGTATCCATGCCATAAATACTCCCAAATAACAATTGAAATGTCATCCATAAATAAGTCACTGTTTACTTCTCTTTTTGTTGTTGGATTTTGGGGTAAATTTATAATTTTTTACAATTCTAATTTACTTTTTTTCCAGATGTACTTTGCTAAAAATAGAATCATGAACATCTTATTAGCCATCCATCCCTGTGGCCCTACAACCCATGTAGGCTTTTGGCCTGCCTCACCACTTCCTTCAACTCAGACCATCTATCCCTGTTGCGCTACACCCGTTTAGGCCTTTAGCCTGCCTCACCACTTCCTTCCACTCAGACCATTCATCCCTGTGGCCCTACAGGCCCCGTAGGCCTTTGACCTGCCTCACCACTTCCTTCCACTCAGACCTAACTAATGCTCTTCTTTACCATGCTTGGATTACCAGCTGATGTAGAGCCCTCTCCACGTCAACTTACACAGCGACACAATTTTAGAGATTAATTACAATTTTTAAAAATCTAAATCTTCATATGACACAAAAAGGGGTTACTTTACAATGACTGTACCTTTTAATAGTTGGGGGGAGAAGGGGGGGGGGAGTAATCATTTCTTAGAATCAGAAGGTTACCGGAAATTTGATCAAAAGAAATTTCGTCGACGGAAAATTGATCGACGGTAATTTGATCGAACGGAAATTTGGTCGAATCTTTTTTTCACTTCACACGTTAAAATCTTCGTCCAATTTCTTTTTGAACGCACTATATTATATAGTAAAACAAAATAATGCGTTCAAAGGAAATTTGAAGCAAAATTTTAACGTTAAAACTTTTTTTTTTAAAGATTCGACAAAATTTCCGTTCGATCAAATTACCGTCGACGAAATTTCTTTCGATCAAATTTCCGGATACGGAATCAGAATGTTAAAAATTCCCTAGAAAAGAAACCAATGAAATGACCACTTTGTTAAAATCACATCCAGTTCAGTACAAAGCGAGGATCATGGGGCGCCCGCAGACTGGGGAGGGTGTATAGGGTGGGGGGGGGCATCGATCATTGCATGGTTTGGGGGAGGGGATTTTAATTATACCCGGGAGACTAATTTGGAACCATACGTCTTAAAAATAGATTAACATAATGACATTGTCTTAGTACTGCCTGGAAATTTCATAATGACATTGTCTATTGCCCGACAGTTTCATAATGACATTGTCTATTTTCTGGCAATTTCATAATGACATCGTCTATTGTATGACAGTTTCATAATGACACTCTTTATTGTCCGAAAGTTTCATAATGACACTGTTTATTGTCTGACAGTTTCATAATGAAATTGTCTATTGACTGGCAGTTTCATAAGTCCGAAATAATAAAGTTCAATTTTAGTTTAGTTTATTTGTATTTCTTCTCTATACTGTCAATTCTCTCAAACAATGTACTTAGAATGTTAGGAATTTGGAATAGGCTTTGGGGGGGGGGGTGGAGGTTCCTGGCGTTCTTGACCCTTACTAAGGCTTTGATTACGTCATAGGCCAGATTCAGAAAAGTAGAATAGGAGTACATTGTTGTTGGATTCCCGACGCCTGGGATAAACAGATTTTGACTCCAGAAGATGACACAGATGACACAGATGTTATTAAGACATCCATTTGGATAACAAATAATGAATCCAGGGCCCGAACAAAAGCAGGGTCAAGGTCAAGAGGACGACTTTAGAGAAAGCCCACGATCCCGTGATGAGGTTAATCTCGGTTCAATCAAGCATAGGCGTGTATTCACAGAGGCAGAAAAAATGTGAAATGAAACCTTGCCCGTTAATCAAGTCTGTTTGTCTCCCCTGGAAAGAGAGAATATTTGAGGTTATAAAATCAGTGATGTTTGTAAACAGGAAATGTATGGCTATGGGGTGGGGAGAGACAGGATGCGCGGGTCCTTAGATCGGGAGTGGGCAATTTTAACCACCAACCGAAGAGTGTGGTGAATGGACCTGTAAAGTGTGGTGAATGGACCTGTAAAGTGTGGTGAATGGACATGTAAAGTGTGGTGAATGGACCTGTAAAGTGTGGTGAATGGACCTGTAAAGTGTGGTGAATGGACCTGTAAAGTGTGGTGAATGGACCTGTAAAGTGTGGTGAATGGACCTGTAAAGTGTGGTGAATGGACCTGTAAAGTGTGGTGAATGGACCTGTAAAGTGTGGTGAATGGACCTGTAAAGTGAGGTGAATGGACCTGTAAAGTGCAGTGAATGGACCTGTAAAGTGAGGTGAATGGACCTGTAAAGTGAGGTGAATGGACCTGTAAAGTGCAGTGAATGGACCTGTAAAGTGAGGTGAATGGACCTGTAAAGTGTGGTGAATGGACCTGTAAAGTGAGGTGAATGGACCTGTAAAGTGTGGTGAATGGACCTGTAAAGTGTAGTAAATGGACCTGTAAAGTGAGGTGAATAGACCTGTAAGGGCAGTAAATGGACCTGTAAAGTGTGGTGAATGGACCTGTAAAGTGTGATGAAATTGGTTTTGCCCCAAAATTTAAATGAATATTGTATGTGGCTTTAAAAATTTCAACTTAAAAGTTTGCGATGACTGGCTTCGATTATCATTAGTTTGCTTATGTGGGATGGCTGAGTAGGGGAAAACTACTCTAACCATTTACCTCACTTCTGCCACACATTTCTTATACTTTGCGGACATTAAGAGTCCATCTTCGGAAGGGTATTTACATTTCTTATGTGATACTACAGCTTATCTAACGCACATATTCTGGTGAAGGTCTGAGATTACTCTCTTATGACCCCGGCTAGTAAATTGGCTATCAACTCCATCTGTTGAGCTGAGCCATACAACATGTCCCTCACAAAGAATCCTCCAACCGCCCTGGCTTCCCCTGGGAGATCTAGTGCGGGACACTCCGTCAACAGATGTTCTAAGGTCTCCGGGGCCAGGCTGCAGTGCCGGCAGGTAGGATCTCTGTTGTTGTCCAACCTCCAGAAGTATGTGCGTAGGGGGCAGTGCTCGGTGCGCATCTGCGTAACTAAACTCTGCACTCTACGACCTAACCCCCACCATGGGTCTTGTTTACTAGGAGTAGGCAAGTTCGAATAGACGCCTCTGGCGGTCGTGTTGTCAGCCCATTGCCTGTACCACTTCTGCCTGAAGTGGTCCGCCAGCCAGTTTTTGACTCCCAAGAAAGTCATTGGTACTTCTGGCTGAGGCTGGGCTGCCCCGGTTTTCGCCAGAGTGTCAGCTATCTCATTGCCACTGATGTTGACATGCCCTGGTATCCATTGCATTTCAACCTTGCACCCTATTTCATCAAGTCTGCATATGTCGTTGTGAATGACGTCGACCAAGCTTGTGGTACCCTGTCTCTTCTCCAAGATCTCAAGAGCGGATCTTGAGTCTGAGAAGACGACAATATCGAGCCCCGCATGCTCCGTCCCTTCCAGAGTGACACGGACTCTCTCCAAGGCCTTGTGCATAGCTATAAGCTCCGCGTCAAAGTTTGACGCTGTAGTCCCACAAGGCCCGGAGAGTTTTTCATCGGGCGGTCCACCTACTGGGTACTGAATAAGCGCACCGTACCCAGCAGTTTTTTTCCTAAAGTCAGCAGAGCCGTCCGTGAACACTTTCACAGGTATGTGCGTGAACACATCCATGGTCTCAAGGGCAGCCACTCTCTGTACATGTTCAGGGCTTCGTTTCGTCACTGCTGCATCTGTCAAGG